ACCGAAGAGAGCACAAAAAGGTAGAGACCAGATGTTGACCTCTGACCTACATGTGCTCATTCACAGGAGAAACAAGAAACAAAACAACAAAGAGTTGGAGAATATTCAGCTGTTCTTGAAGTTAACAAATTCAAAGCATGCAATATGATCATTTAATTTAAATAGTCAATAATACTGCCGGTGCTCACTGTTGTTTCATATTCAGAGATGATACATAATATAGCTTTCACCTAGTGAGATCATTCTGAAAGGAAAATCGACAGCAAACAGAAAGCCATAAAAATTAATATACATTTTGACCCAGAAACTCAGCATTTTGGATATTGCCCAAGGATATGATTCAAAAGAAAAATTAAAAAATCTATTTGTATAAAGATATTTATAGCTGTACTACATTACAAGCAAAAAGTGGAAACCATTCAAATTCAAATGCCCAATAGAGGGAGAATGCTTAGGTAGACTTTGGTACACTAATGCAGTGAAATATTTTATTTTTACTAAGAACTATAATTATACAAAATATGCAGAAATAAGGGCCATAGGAAGCAATGAATGAAAAAATACAGTGATCAAAACGATCACATCTACATAATACTGTGCCTCTGTAGCCAAGAGGATTGGGAAAAGCTACAAGCTGATAATTACAGTGCTTACATTTCTGTTCTATTAAGTTTCGGGAATATTTTTTCTACTTTTATATCACTAAATATTTGATATACATATATTAAGAAGAGTAAATCCTCATTTTGGCACATAAAAGAAAATATAAATGCCATCAATATTTTTTCTTGCCCTAAAAGACTTTTTCTGTCTTTTTGTTGTTGGTGGTGGTGGTGTTAAGATTTCATGTTTAGATATGGAGGAAGTAGAACCTACCCTTTGCCAGTACAAAATGCTACCACGTGCTTTGTCAGTCAGATTTTCTGTTCCTGTGACAAACATCTGAGAGAAATATTAAAGGAGGAAGGGTTTATGTGGGTTCATAGTTTCAATCCATGGTTGGTTGACTCCATTGCTTATGGCCTGATGTAAAACAGAATACCTTAGTGGCTGGGAAGCAGAGAAACAGGAAAGGGCCAGGGCAAGCAGTATCTCAAAAGAACACACCCCTCCTGTCCCAAGACCTATTTCCTCTAGCTTGACCTTGCTTCTTAATGACTCCAGTACTTCCTAAGACAGAGCTACCATCTGGGAACTAAGCCTTTAACACATGAGCATGTGGAGTAACATTTCATATTCAATAACAGCATACTCTTCTCTTTCACCACTGTGTTTAGTTGCTCAACTTACTCCCAACATGCTAACTTACATGCACTCACGTTTCTATCAGGCATTCAAACTCAACGTCTTAATTACACTTACTGTAATGGTAGGAGATTTCCCTCATAAATATGGCTTTTTAAACTTTTCAACGCAGAAAAACATTTGTTTCTTACCTCTTACTACTATGGGAGAATTGTCCTCTTTAGAAGGTAAATCATTCTGGTTTCCATCTCTTCTAACTTTAAAGGATGTCTTATTTTGGCTATATCCCCCTTATCTTCTCTCTGGGCATACCTTAACCTACAAACCTATTTTACTCTGTTCTGCAAAAGGAATCTTCCTTGATGTCCATGTCCCTTCGTTCACCTTTGGTTTTCTTCACAGTAATGTTCCCAGTACTCTTATCCACACCATTGCCTATAAACCACTGTAAACCACCCTGTAAACCACTGCAATCCACCTTCAGTTCTCACTCTCCCCAACTGTCTCAAGGTCATAAACAATCTATATGCTGCTAAATCTAGAAGACACTTTTCTGTCAGTCTATTAGTTGACCACCTCTTTCTCTGTTTAACATCTATTTTCTTCATGTGCCTCACTCTTTCTGCTCTTGCCAGTTTTCTTACTTCTTTAGATATGCAAGTTCCTCAGGCTGGCACCTAAACCCTCTTTCTTTTCTTTTGTATGCTAACTTACATCATCTAGTACTATGGCTTTAAATTTCATTTTTGTGCTAAAAACTTTCCAAATGAATAAATACTCAAGCAGAGAACCTGATCTCATTGCACTGATTCAATGATACTTTCAATGTCTATATTTAGTTTCCTAGCATGAAAGCCAAAGTCACAGTTTCTTTCCCAGAACTACTTAGAAGGATTCTTGTCTTCTCATTTCAGCAAATGGCCCCATCCACTTGACCACTGTTTACATCATACCATTATATGCCTTCCCACTGAGCCACCATATCTGACAGACTTTGCTTGACTGCCACCACTCTTACTTCTGACCCCTGTTATTTACCCTCTAAATCACTGCAGCAATCTTCTCATGGATTTTTCTGCTTTCGCTCTAATCTATTTTTCAGAGTATACACATCCTTTCAAATAATAAATAATTTCCTTCTCCATCTTAAACATCCTCTAATTGCATCATGAATGCAATTAGAAAGCACAGCAAGTCCTTCATTACGCCTAGAGGGCCTGATAGAACATGCCTCTTCCTTACTACTCTGACCTTCCAGGCAGCCTAGCCAGTTTTTATCCTCTGGATCTTTGTACATGTTTTTCATTCTACAACTATATAAGCAAAAATAACCACTGAGACTGTTAACTTCTTACATCGTGCATTCAACTATTAATTCTTTTCTTTACAGTTTTAAGGGAATGTTTCCATGACTTCCCGTATTCAATTAACCCACAGCGCCCATACTCATTAATGTAACCATGGACTGTTTCTTCGTGCTGTCCTGGTGTTACGCTTCTGATTAATGTATGTCTCTCCTAACTTAGTGAACACCCCATAAGTACAAAGAATGTATATGTTTTGTTTATTATTATTCTCAGTTCCTAGCATATCACTTAGAGTATAGCTGTTATGCAAGAAATATCATTAGAATGAATAAATGATTGATACACCCCATTCTATTATAAAGACACTGTAGGTCATATGGGAACACATTAATCAAATCATTAAAGAAAAAGAATGTTTTAAATAAATAATAACCGTATGTACTTGAAGGATAGAGTGATTAGATTTTCTTGATTATCTGTGAAATATGAATAAGTACACTATTTTAATTATTATATCTAAGTATAAGAAGAAAAAAATGAAAGCAACCTCTTCACCTCTGCCCTACTCCTCTCTACACAGATGCAAAGAGTTCAGTGAGAGTGTGAAGAGGGAAGCCCCATGCTGATGAGCATGGACTAAGGCTATAAAATTTTGAACAAAAAAGGAAGTAAATTGCTCCTGAGCAAGAAATGGAAAAATGGAAAGAAGAATAAGTTTCAATCCCCTGCTGGGTGGAGTCTTTTGGAGAACATCTGTGGTAGGCTCCCAACCTGTTCCCTCTTTTCTACTGCTTCTGGTTTCTATCCTGCTCTATCATCCTCTTCTGAATGAGAATTAAGCATCTTCCCTAGGGTCCTCCTTGTCATTTAGCTTCTTTAGGTCTGTAGATTTTACTATGTTTATCCTATATAATATGGCTTACATCCACTTATAAGTGATTATATACCATGCATGTCTTTCTGCTTCTGGGTTACCTCACTCAGGATGATCTTTTCTACAAAGCCAAAAATATCTGGGCCAAGGGGGGACTGATGAGACTGATGCATCAACCAAAGACCATGCATAGAGAAGACCTATACCTCTGCTCAGATATAGCCCACAGATAGTTCAGTCTCTATGTGGGTTCCCTAGTAAAGGGAGAGGAGACAGTCTCTGACATCAACTTGGTTGCCTGCTCCTTGATCACTTCTCCCTGGTGAGGCAACTTAGCCAGTGGACAGAAGAGGATCCAGGCAGTCCTGATGGGACCATAGGCTATGTCAGACAGTAGGGGAGGAGGCCTTCCCCTATCTGTGGCGTAGGGGAGAGAGATAGGAGAGAAAAAGGGAGGGAGGGACCAGGAAGAGGTGGGGGGGGGAATACAACTGGAATACAAAGTGAACAAATTGTAAATAATAATAATGAATAAAATAAAGTAAAAAAGAAAAGTAGTTTAAGTAAAAATTCAGTGACATATATAGAGAAAAAATGCCTAATATGAAACTTTGCTTTGCTGATATTGTTATAATATAAATCCCTGTGCCTTCCGCAGACATTCAGTAAGGTCTGCAGTGTCCATAAGCTCAAATCAAAACTAAGCAACCAGAGAAGAAATGAGTCCTATGAGCTATTGAGACACACAGCCTTTCAGGAGAGGCCACTTTTGTTCCTTTTCATCTCCGTCTATGCTTGCATAGACATTTATCTAACTGCTTGGTCTTGGTCTACACACTGCTTTGGAAACTATCATATTCAAATTGAACTGTAGAGATAACTATCTAAATGCCACAAATAACACATGAATCTCCCAATTCATTGTTCTTATTTTTGCTCTAGTTAAAATTTGTCTTTGGACCTTGATTCAGCATATATCTATATTAAGCCTCTCCTGCTGTACTCTGGCTCCCTTTTATTCTAATTCACCCTATTTACTGGCAACAAATTCATGGTCATTCTTCTAACCTTGTGCAACCAGACCGAATCTGCATGCATATCTGTTATTCGATTTGGGGCTGGCCCAATGCCAGAACTGAGTTAGAGAACATTTAACATACTTTGCACCAATGCTCAAAAGATGTTTGTCAGATCAGTCAAAATTAAGCAGGTGATAATAATTCTTCAGAGTGTCTGCTACTGAAGCATTAGTTCACTTTTACTTTAATTTGTAAATATTTGTATTTCCAACCTTTTAAAAATAGGAAATGATTCAATGAAATCCTATGTTAAAAGATAATTTTGCAAATAATGCATTTTGTTCAAGCCACCTAGAGTCTAAGATATGCCTCCCCCTACTCTCGACTCTAGAAGCCCTAAGACGAGTTCTATTGTTTGTTGAGTTTAGGAGTAAACCACTATGAGAAAACCTCTGCTTTCTTATTAAACCTGTGAACAACCAAAATAAACACAAATACTTCATTCCATTATATTTAATGAACAATGCTGTAAGAGAGCTAAATAATCTGACCTACCCATCTAGGAGAGCAATGACATTCTTTCTGGGTCGTCCAATATTGGGGCCATACAGGCTGGCCCTGGAGTAAATCCGGATGGGTTGCAGCAGGCTCTTCAGCTGGATGTAATCCTTTCCCAACTGGCTACCATTTACTGCCCGGCCATGCATGCTCCGATAGTTATTTGGCTCTAGATTAAAAACAGACATATAAATTAGAATGGAGACGAGCAAGGTTGTGCCAGCCCTTTCTTACTTAGCATGAATAAAATAACAAAAGAGGATATAAGTTATCTTAAGGAACACAGAAACAGTAATGTTAGTAAGGCTAGCTTGCTGTTTCATTCATTTCCAAACTTATCTTCATAAAATATCATTTGATTCACAATAGGGACAGTACTTACTTTCAAATAATATTATGGAATGATGGTATACTTTGTAGAATACTCTCTCCCCAAACTTGTGTACTAGGTCTTCAGAATGACCTTATTTGGAATTAGAGTCATTGAGGATGTAATGTTTATATGTAGTCAGCATTAGAGTGGGCCCTACATCTAATAACTGCTGTGTTTGTAACAAAGGAAAGGGGCCTTCAGATACACAGACCAGGGGAAAATGCTATGTGATGACAGGCACAAAGCCGGGAGAGATGCTGCTATGCTAAGGAATTCTGGCAGCCTCCAGAAGCTAGGGGAGAGGATGGAGTAGATTCTCCTTCAGAACTTCCAGAAGAAACCAACCATGCTGATGTTTTGATTATGTTGGCTTCGCAAACAGTAAGGGAAATTTTTTCTTTTAAGTCACAGTAATTTGTTATTGTAAAGCCTATAAAACTAATAGATGTGGTAAGAATGGTTACATTCTTAAATATGATTATTGCGCAGAAAATTAGGAAAAACACGCTTGGATGTTCATTGGTAACAAAGTAGCTGAGTGAAATAATTTTGAGCAAAACCACATTCCCTCAGTTTAGCACTGGAAAGATGAAAAGTCCTAAGGCAGCGGGTCCTTAGAGTTAGAGGTAGCTGACGAGAGAGGCCCCAATGCCACTATCTCAGATAGTTTCAAGCTGTGATTCTGGAAGGACAGGATCTAGATTATCAGGCTCATATGAAATTTTAAAAGAAATTTGGGGAAGTAAGACAGCCACACCGTGAAAATTAATAACCTTTCTTACATCCTTTAATCCTAAAGGCTGCTATATTTAGAAGGAACTATGGAGAGCTTTGGCTATCTATATACTCCCACAGGGATACGAGCCCTAGACAAAAGAAGGCATGTTACTACCCAAGTATTTGCTGTGTTCCCCTTTTATCAGCATATCAACCTGGCCTTGCCTTACTGGCTCGAGTTAAGCAAGAACAAACTTTGATCAATTATTGGCTCATCATTAAGTTATATCAATGCAAAGATAACACGCAGGTAGTTGACCTTAGCATTTAATTTGTGTGGGTGCTCTGTTGCATGTATGTCTGTGTACCATGTGCACACAGTGTCCTCAGAGGCCAGAAGACGGTGTCAGACACCTCTGGAACTGGAGCTACAGTGGTTCTGGGCCACTCTGTGGGTGCCAGGGTTAAACTTGGACGCTCTGGAAGAACAGACAGTACTCTTTAATTAATACTGAGTCATCTCTCCAGCCCCCAAGGGATCGAGTGTTTTAACTGGAGATGTCAGCAACTACCTGATGCAAGAGTGGTAGACTAGAGCATTACTTCTGGTAACTAAAAAGCCAAATAAGAGGTAATAAGCTCAACCTCCAGGATGGACAACTAATACTTCTGCAATCCTCTATCATATTACCTAAAATGCATTACTTTCAATATCAAGATTATGAGCATGAAAAGGAAAAATGTACAAGAGAGGAGAAAAGAGCAATCAATATTAACTGTTTCTTTGAAGACTTTAACATTAGATTATTTGTCACATAAGAACTTCAAAATTATAAATATGTTCAAAGAGCTGAAGAGAATAAAAGAATTAATAGAAAATATGAAAATGGAAGAAATAAAGCTATAAAGCAACTATAAAAAATCAAATGGAAACTCTTGAACTAAAATGAACTAAATGAAAAAATGAGATTAATAATTGAGCTTTTTTAAATTAAATTTTTACTTTTTATGTTAATTACAGTATATTAAATATAGTTTATTCACTTTGTATCCCAGCTATAGCCCCCTCCCTCATTCCCTCCCAATCCTACCTTCCCTCCCTCATCTCCTCCCCTGCCCCTCTCCAAGTCCACTGATAGGGGAGGTCCTCACCCCCTTCCATCTGACTCTAGCTTATCAGGCCTCATCAGGACTAGCTGCATTGTCCTCCTCTGTGGCCTGGCAAGGGTGATCCCCCATTGGGGGTTGTGGTGGTGGTGGTGGTGGTAGTCAAAGAGCCTGCCACTGAGTTCATGTCAGAACAGTCCCTGTTCCCCTAGGGAACTAGGGGATCCACTTGGACATTGAGCTGCCATGGGCTACATCTGAGCAGGGGTTCTAGGTTATCTCCATGAATGGTCCTTGGTTGGAGTATCAGTCTCAGAAAAGACTCCTGTGCCCAGATATTTTGGTTCTGTTGCTTTCCTTGTGGAGCTCCTGTCCTCTCCAGGTCTTACTCCCCCTTATTCCCCCTTCTTTTATATTATTCCCTGCACTTCCAGCTTTTATCAGCAACAATAGAGGTAAAAAAAAAATAGAGGGATAATATATTCAAAATTCTATGAAAATCTACTGGAGCGAAGTTTCTCTATTAATACTGCTTCAAACAAATGGTGAGGAGTTAATTCAACACAAATTTTATGTGACCTCATGTATATCTGTATAATCAAACAGTTACTGATATTAATGAAGAAATTAATTTAGGGGCTCTGTGATTAAGAGTGTTCTGTACTGCATGCTAGAAAAGGGCACCAGATATCATTTATAGATGGTTGTAGGCCACCATGTGGTTGCTGGGAATCAAACTCAGGACCTCTGGAAGAACAGTGTTCTTAACTGCTGAGTCATCTCTCCAGCCCTGAACTTAATACTTTTTAAAACTGAAACTCAAGTCAGCAACTCAAACATCATGTTTTGAAACCAAACTTCTAACACAATCCGATCTGGAGATTATAGTCATTTGATATTTACATCAAATATGTGATGTGAGGAGCGACATCACAAAAAGATTACACGTTTCTGTCCTCCATAACTACTATATCAATGTTTTTCTGTAAGCACAGAAACCTTTGCATGTCAGAGGAAATGTATGGGACACACTATTTTCATCTGAGCGGAGGTATGGCAGGCAGGCTAAGCATTCAGGTTGCTTAGCACAAGGCAAGGACAGTACAAAGCATGTGCGGTCTGTGTTCAGAACCCAGTCATGTGATTCCACAACAAGTGATGCTACCAGAAACACCCGGGATCAGCACACTTGATCTTCGTGATGGTTGGTTCTAATTGTCAACTTGACACTCTCTAGAATCACCTAGGGTGTCCTGAGGGCTGGGCTGTCAGGGATTGTCTTGATAATGTGAATTGGTGTGAGAAGGTCCAACCCACTGTTGCTGGCACTGCTTCTGGGGTTTGTGGCCTGGTCACAGAGTGAGCAGAGTAGTAGAGATGCATGCACTCATTCTCTCCTTGTTATGTGGTGGGACATCTTTTGGGTATATGCCTAGGAGTGGTATGGCTAGGTCTTGAGATAGAGCTATTTCCAATTTTCTGAGAAAATGCCAGATTGATTTCCAAAGTAGCTGTGAAACTTTGCACCCTCACAAGCAATCGAGGGGTGTTCCCCTTGCTCCACATCCTTGCCAGTGTGTGTTATCACTTGAGTATTTGATCTTAGCCATCCTAATATATGTAAGTTGGAATCTCAGAGTCGTTTTGATTTGCATTTCCCTAATGACTAAGGATATTGAACATTTCTTTTTTTAATTAATTAATTCAATTTACATCTTGGTCATAGGTCCCCCTCTCCTCTTCTCCCAGTATCACGCTCCCTCCTGCAACCCATCTCCCCTGTTTCTCATAATAGGGGAACCACCCTACCTAGACACCCCAGCTCATCTATTCACTTAAGGACTGAGTTTGTCTTCCTCCCTTGTGGCCTGGTAGGAAAGTCCCATCAGGGGGAAGTGATCAGAAAGAAGGCAACAAAGTATGTATCAGAGATATCCTCCACTGCCCCAACTAGTGGGCCCACATGAAGCCTAAGATACCCATTGGGCTTATCTTCTTGGTGTCTGTGTATTGTAGTATGACTCTCCTGTACTATATGACTAAAATCCACTTATAAGTGAGTATATACCATGTGTGTCTTTCTGGGTCTATGTTACCACGCTCAGGATGATCTTTTCTAGTTTCATCTATTTGTCTGCAAATTTCATGATTTCCTTGTTTCTAATAGAATTCCATTGTGTAATAGAATTGTGTAAATGTACTGCAGTTTCTTCATTCCATTCTTCAGTTAAGGGACATCTAGGTTGTTTCCAGTTTCTGGCTATTACAAATAAAGCTGCTACGAACATGGTTGAGAAAATGTCCTTGTATGGTGGAGCATCTTTCAGGTATATGCTCAGGAGTGGTATAGCTGGGTCTTGAGGTTTGGCTTATCCCAGTTTTCTAAGAAAGTGCCAGATTGATTTCGGAAGTGGTTGTACAAATTTGCACTCTCAGCAGCAATGGAGGAGTGTTCCCCTTTCTCCACATCCTCTCCAGCATGTGTTGTCACTTGAATTTTTTATCTTAGCCATTCTGATGGGTGTAAGATAGAATCTCCGAGTTGTTTTGCTTTTCATTTCCCTGATGACTAAGGATGTTCAGCATTTCTTTAAGTGCTTCTTGGCCATTTGATATGCCTTTGTTGAGAATTCTCTGTTTAGCTCTGTATCTTATTTTTAAAAAAAGGTATTTATTTATTTCAGTTTATTCACATTGTATCCCATCTGCAGCCCCTTCCCTCTTCTCCTCCCAGTCCCACCCACCCACCCACCCTCTTCTCCTCCTATGCCCTTTCCTAGCCCCAGATAGGGTAGGACCTCTTCCCCTTTTATCTGAACCTAGCTTAGCAGGTCTTATCAAGGCTGGCTGCATCATCTTCCTCTGTGGCCTGCCAGAGGGAGGTGATCAAAGAGCCAGCCACTGAGTTCATGTCAGAGACAGCTCCTGTCCTCTTACAAGAGAAACTACTTGGAAACTGAGCAGCCTATGGG